AAAAAAAAAAGAAAGAAAGAAAAGAAAACACATTACAACTGTGGCTGGAGATGCATTTGCTGGAGATGAGGCCTCAAGATGAAGGCAAAATGCCCAGGCCTGCATACTTCCCCAAGGACAAGATAAGCAGTCACACCTGGCTTAACAAAGTCTAGGTAGACATCAGTCACCCTGGTGGGAGACCAAGACCTCTGGACCCATTGTTTCCTAGAAAAAGTCTTTGTTCTTTCTATGCACACCTATTACGTGATTTGTTCCCCCACTGGATCACTATTACTTACGATTTGTTCCCCCACTGGATCACTATTACTTACGTGACTATTCTTGTAACCTTACTGATTGACCATAGCTTTAACCCATGTTGCACCAGTAGTTGTGCTCTATAAAACTTCCTCTGAAAAGTGGGATTCTCAGGTGCCCATTCGGGCACTCAAGAGCTATCCTCTTAATAAATATTTCCTACTCTTAACCTTTGTTGAGCCGAGGATTTAACTCAGTGGTTCTTCCACCTGCCTTGCAAGCACAAGGTCCTGAATTTGATCCCTAATAAAAAACAACAACGACAACAACAAAAAACCCCGTTGTTCCTAGAATTCATTCTTTGACTTTAGAAAACACAAACTCGGTGTATTATACATCTTACAGGTTGGGAATTATATCATATTATTTAGAGATCCTGTTTCATCTTCTACATTATCCCTGTATTAATTTAGTCTTTATCCTGAGGCCTGGTCTCCAACAGATGCGTCTCTCACCACTGTTGTAATGTGTTTTTATCTTTTGCGCTATCTAGGGCCCATGCCTATCTGACTGCCTAGAATATTTTCACATTACTTAGTTGTCTATAATTTTTGCACCCTAATGTAGAAATAGATGGTCAAAAGGTTAAAAAAAAATACAAACTTCTGCATATGGCACGGCAGTCATGGTGGTTTGCTTATGATTAGATTCGACCCCACAAGTGGGTCTTTGAGAGAAGAGAGGATCTGGAATAGCTGATGGGATCCTTCAAGTAACTGAGGGAAGACTGTGACACCTTCAGGTAATCTTGCTTTACATGCTGATACAAGGCGGCGGTGCGCGGAAAGAAAGCATTAACAATCGGGCTCAGCAGTACTTCAAGTTTAGGGCATTCCCAATTTGCAGGCAACAAACTGGAAATAACCCCGCCCTCCACTTTTCAAATAAAATCCCAGATGGGCGCGTGCGCCTCGGAAGGCGCCGGGGCAGTGTCATCATAGAGATGCGAAGCTAGATCGTCTACTTCCACAGAGGTAGGACATTTTGGGTCCTGGCAGAGAAGTTGAAAGCAGCTGAGAGCACTGTCAAGCTGGGATGCACTGGTCACAGCACAAGAGCAAAAGAGCCCCGCTAGGATCGACAGAAGCAAATGACGGAGAGAAATCGCGCTGCGTCCGTAGAAAGAACAACATCTGAAATGTTGCACACCTCCCTGCCCTCACCTGAGATGGCGGCTTTTCGGGCGCTCTAGCCGCCTTCCCTCGGACGCCAGGAGGGGGCGCGGCCTCGAGTCAGTGCGCCTCAGAGGTGGCTGAGGAGTGGGTGTCTGTGGGTTGCGCCTGGGCTCTTCGTGGTTCTGGGACGCTCAGGGCTGGACTCTCGCGCCCCTTGTCTCCTTGCGTGTGATTCTCAGCGTCTCTCATAATCCAGCGCCTGGCCTCGCGGTCACCT